AAAATACTACCAGAGTCTTGTCAAAGGCTTTTTTTGCATCTGTTGAGATGATGATATTTTCTTGATTTTCCAGTTTGCTGGAGTATAGGTTTTCAAAATATTCCCATATGATCTGAATTTCATTGGTGTCTGTTACAATGTCCTCTTTTTCATGTCTGATTTTATTAATTTGTGTCTTCTCCTTTCTTCTTTTGGTTAATTTGGCTAAAGGTTTATTGATCTTGCTTATTTTTTTCAAAGAACCAACTTTTTGTTTAATGAAACATTGTGTCATTCATTTGGTCTCCATTAATTTCTGCCCCAATTTTTATAATTTCTTTCTGTATACTACTTTTGGGATTGGCTTGTTTTGTTTTTCTAAGAGTTTGAGGCACATCATCAGATTGTTTATTTGAGAGTCTTCTAATTTTCTCTCATGGCACTCTTGGCTATAACTTGCCTCTTAAGACTGCCTTTGCTGTGACCCAGAGGTTCTAGTAAATTGTGTTCTCATTTCCATTAATCTAGGAATTTTTAATTTCTTTTCTAATTTCTTCAATGACCCATTAATCCTTCAAAAGTGTATTGTTCGATCTCCATGAATTTGAGTGGTTTTGTAGTTTTCCTTGCCATTGATTTCTAATTATATTCCACTATGGTCTATTAGGATATTGGGGATTATTTGGATTTTTTTGGATTTTGGGGGATTTGCTTTATGATCTAGAATGTGATCTATTTTGGAGAAAGTTCCATGGGCAGCTGAGAAAAATGTGTTGTCTGCTGCTGTGAATGGAATACTGTATAAATGTCTGTTAAGTCCGTTTCTTCTGTGGTATTATTTAGTTCTAGGATATATTTGTTAATTTTTTGTCTATTAATAAGAGTGGAGTGTTGAGATCTCCCACTATTATTGTATATGGACCTGTCTGTTCCTTTATGCTCAGAAGTGTTTGTTTTATGAACTTAGAGGCACTGGTTGTTAAAATTAAATAAAATTAAAATTTTTGCTGAATTGTTCCCTTTATTTTCTTTATCTCTTCTGACTGATTTTTGCTTAAAGTCTTTGTCTCATATGAGAATACTACTCCTTACTTTGATTTCCATATGCCTGGTATATCTTAGTTAAGTCTGTTTACTTTTAGGGTTGTGCTTGAGAGATATTTACTGATTCCTGTGTTTCTATTGCTTTTTTCCCCACAGGTTAATTCTCATGTTGATTGTTCTTTATTTATGGTAGTAAATGAAATCTATAATGATTAACATCGAGCATGTACTTCTGTCTGAATTTGCTGCTGGTTACTGACTGGCCTAAATTTTTTAATTTCTTTGGGCACATCTTTGAACTTTTTGTACCCTTACATACAGGGTAAGTTAACTTCTTCCTGTGGCAGTCTAATAATGATTATTAGGTACATTGGCTAAGATTCCTTTGTAACCAAAGGTCTCTAGAGTCTCATGCTACCTATTCTACCTTTGAGAACATATTTAAGTAAATCATAGTGTAAGGAAGGGAAATAGCTTAGAAAGCTGAAGTGTACTGTATGATCACTCCATAGATTCTTCTTTTAGCACTGATGTCAAATACTAGATAAGAAGGCCGAATTATTCTTCTTTCACTGCTGCCTTTTCTGACACAAAGAACTCTCTAAAATCTAAAATGAATTCACACAATTAAGAGATTTACCTCTGTCAGATTATAGAAAGCAGGTAAGGGGTTCTATAGAAAAGCAGAATCCCACGTACAGTAACGTACATTAATAGTTTTCTATTCCCCTGTCAATTATTTTCACAATATTAGCATTAAAAACACAACCAAATATACATATGACCTTCAGCCCCTCCCCACAATTGGTCTTTATTCATTCTCAGACAACACGATATCCCCAGAGTAGTGACAAGAGGTGGAAGTCAATTCTCCTATAGCCATTTCTCCAGCTGAGGGTGGAGTCTGTTATCAGAAGACTTCCAAATTCTTTGTGTCCAGCAGGAAGAATCTGTTGTAGGTTACATGGGTGTAAAGGGAGTTTATTAAAAGTTAGGAAAGGAAATACAAAGGGGAGCATGGTGGGGCCCAGATAGAATCTGGAGGCCTAGAGAACATGTTTCTCTTCTGATGCTTTTAAAACTTACCCTAACCGATGGGAAATAAGGAACCAGGTGACTCCCATCCAGTAATCAAGGAGTAGGGAGGAGCATGGGCAGTTCCTGGCCAGGTGGGAGTGATCCCTGAGCCAGAGCATGGTTAATCTGAGATGTAATATTTTTTATGAGTCCTGAGCTTTTCCTAATTCTAGCCTGCCTCACAACCATCTCATCAACAACTCTTCACTAACTACCTTCCTTTCCAAAGAGGTTATGCTGAGATCAGACAGAAAGGCTGTAAGACTGGCTTAGATTTCTGGTTCTGTTTAAATTTCTTCAAAATGAATTGACTTGTATCAATTAAGTGCTCAACACAGTTTTAAAACAGGCCTCAGCACAACTGTCCAACTTTGGCCCAGGCTTGTCCATAAACTTCTCCTAACAAATTTAGTCATCTGGTGCTCCAGCTGTTGGAAGCGCTGCTCTGTGTCTCCACTTCAATGAAATACTACAACTGTGGGTCCACTGTGCCCAAACCTGCCACAAAAGAAGATAAGGAGGAATCCACTCCAGTGCAGCCATAGGTGCTGAAATGAACTCTGCACCAACTCACTGTTCTTCAAATGTCTCCTCAGTCCTTTTCTTTTATACTCTGTATTTTCCTAAACTGTCTTAAGAATTTTCTTTTGTTCTGGATGCTGCGCATCTGACTGGAACACTATTTCAGTTCTTAAAGTCACTGGTATGAACATCCTCAGCAGTTGGGTGGGTCTTTTCCCTCCCAGGTCCCGCCACTGACCTAGTTTTTCACATACAGTATGTTTTGACCATTTCCCAGTGTCAAAAAATCTAACATACCACTTGTATTGGTTTTATAGTTTTTCACCAGTATTATTTACTCTTTCTCTTATTCTTGGGCATTGGGCTTTTCCAAGTCTTCATTAAATAACATCATGAAGAACATAGTTGTACATGCATTTTTCATACATAATGTTGATTCCTAGAGTGAAATGTGTGGGTCATGAAAGGTAATAATAGACCTTGCTAAATTGTCTTTTAGAAGATTGTAACAATTCTCAATCTCACATAAAAATACTCTGTACCTTCACACATCATTCTTTTTAATATTTACTAACTGATATATACATGTTTATGGCACTTAGTTCCTGTTTGAATTTGCAAATCTGAGCATCTTTGCTCATTTGTTTTGCAAATTGACTCCTGTCTTTTGCCCATCCTTCTTTTCAAATATTAACTGCTTTATTTTTACTTTGTGAGGCTCTTTATTTTGGAAATATTAACCCTTTTGTCATTTGTATTATAAATTTTTTTTCTCAGTTTATAACTCTCACTTTTTGCTACACACATGTTTTGGTGCATATATTTAAAGGTACCTATTCACCTGACCAGAGATTAAATTTCATCTAGTTCAATGTTTGTGTCTTCTATTTTTACATTGAACTTTTAAATCCATATAATTTACTTTGGTATATGGTTTGAGTAGGACATATCTTTGTTTTTTTTTTTGTTTTTTTTTTTTCTGAAATAACCTACCAACTATTATTCTTTAGGGATTGATCATCTTTTTCCTGTTAATTTGAATTTTCACTTTGTCATGCACTAAACATTTCATATGTTTATGTGCATATCTGCCTAAAAATAACTTCCCTAGGAACATTGTATAATACCTGAAATTTCTGACCACACCAGTTTCTTACTCTCCTCTTTCTAGAAAACACTTAAGTAGAATACTTAAACTTCTATATTAAAATCTTAGCCAGGCTTGATTGTTTTGTTCTTGAGAATTAAATACCTCAAAATATTTCTCTCATCAGAGCATTTTATTATTAGCCAAAAAAATTTTTTACTGGCTTGAAGCCTACCAGGAATAAAGGCAAACAGTAATAAGAGGTCAATCATGATTCAGGACACTATAAAATGACTTCAGAAATGAGAAAGTTCTTGCTTTGTGGTAGGGTAAATAAATATTAGTGGAATAAATGTGTTAGTCAACTTTTTGTTGCTGTGACAAAATACCCAAAATAAACAACTTTAAAGGAAGAAAAATTTATTTCGGCTCATGGTTTCAGAAGTTTTAGTCCATGTCAGTTAACTCCACTGTTTTGGGGACTGTGATGAGGCCAAATACCATGGCAGGAGGTGTGTGCTGGTGCAAAGCTGCCCACCTCACGGTGTTTGGTAAGCAAAAAGAGAGAGGAAGGGACCCAATCCCAATATCCTCTTTAAGGAATACCCCCAATGGGTTAACTTTCTTCCACGGGGCAAATTAGCCTTCAGCACATGATCTTGAGGAACATTTAATAGCAGTAAATATTGAAATTTTAGATAAATAACAGCATTTGAACTTTGAAAAACTAGCTGAAATGCGCCTAAGATAGAATTTCAGCAATTGCACTTTGTATTTATTGATTGTAAAATAGATAAAATTGACAGTGTTTTGAGTAACGTTTGAGTTTCTAAATGCTACTTGTTCAGAATGTTCCTTAACGGTATAATTTGATGTTAGGCACTCTTTACATCCAACGTAGGTTCTCTTTTGATTAAAATAATTTCAGCTATTTTTGACCTAATTATATATAGAGATAGATAGATCCCCGGGAATAATTCATATTTATTGTTCATAAAGTAATGTTTGGCTTCCTAAGAAGAAAGTTCAGAGGAAGCCTAGGCTTGGTGGCTTATGCCTGTCATCCCAGCTACCAGGAAGCACAAATAGGAGGATCTCAGTCCAGGCCAGTTAACACATAAACATGAGACCCTATCTCAAAAACAACCAAAGCAGAAAAGGGCCAGGGGGCATGGTTCAAGTGGCAGAGTGCTTGAAAACACAGGGCCTTGAGTTCAAACCACAGTATTGCTCCCCACCCCCCAAAAAAAAAGTTCAGAGGAGAATCAAGGTGTTTTCATCTTATTTTTAGAATGGGTGCTGCGGACAATATATATAAAGGACGGAGTACATTTATGGAAGAACTGACTGACACAGCAGAAATAATCAGAAAAGCAACATCACAGTCCTTGGTTATCTTGGATGAACTGGGAAGAGGAACGAGCACTCATGATGGAATCGCTATTGCATATGCTACGCTTGAGTATTTTATTAGAGATGTAAGTATTCTGGACATACTTTTCTTTTAAAATTAATTTATTTTTAAATAATACTGCTTTTAATTAGCATATTATATTGTGTACATTTATGGGGCATATTATGATTTGATATATGTAAACAATGGGAAAGAGTTAAATAAAGCTAATGAACATATCCATCACCTCACTTACATTTTGTGGTGAGGCATTTGAAATTTATTATCTTAGTTATTTTGAAATATACTGTACATTATTACTGGCTGTGGTGGTAATACTTCATCCAATACCTGCATACCCTTTTTTATGTGCTATACAAATTATTTTCCTGATCCCATTCTCCAAACACGCATGATTTCCACCCAGCACTGTAACTTATTATCCTTAACAAACTAAATCAAGAGTAGGGACCATCCACCTAAGCCTAATTCTTTGAGGAAAGACAAAGAGATGGTACTGTTTCTACTCTGAAAGACTGTTTTCACTGATGTTCTAAAAGAACTCGATGCTAGGCCATTGGTCTCTTCTCTGAGAGTCTCCATTTCAATAGCATGGCTCTCTCAATGCATGTCTCTTTTTTTCAGAGTTCATGTCTGAACATCTCAGTGTGAAATTCTGTTTGTGTCAAGCTGTCCAACCCTGCCGTCTCCATCAAACTCTCCCCCTTAATCTACTGTCTGTGCCTTTCTATATCTGCCTCATAGCATTTGCCCCTACATCTTATCTCTTTTCAGCCTTTCTTTGTCCTTTTCTTTCCCTGCACTTTCTTACTCTTTGTCTCCATGTCTTCTCTTCATTTAATTTCTCCTCTCTTCCTTAAATAGCCATATTTCTTTCCAGAAAAAGTAACATAAAACCAAACTTTCTTTATTTAACCTTTGGTGGCCCTAAGTTTTTGTTTTATTCTTTTGATTTGCTTTTAAAGTATGATTTAAGTTTTTTTCCAGAAGATAATTTTCCTTTACTCCTTAAGGGCTCTGCTTCTAATCTGGGCTTTGCTGGGAGCTGTGGTGTGTTATCTGCAGGCATAAATGGACGTGGAGTTGTTCAGAACTTCTGACTTCATGGAATGATTCCTCAGTACTTTGTTATGAATGGCACAGCTCACTCAGTAGTGTACAGTCATATGCTGCATGGCAACACTTTAGTCAACCAATGACCACAGATGACAGTGATTATAAAATCATACTGTCTAGTGACATTGTAATCATTTTTGTTTGTTAAGAACACTCTGGGATGTTTGCAGAACCAATACATGATGAATTTCTCAGAACATGTCCTCCAGTGTTAAGCAAAGCATGACCTCAGTGTCACATTGTCACATACAGCTTGGGTAGCATGCAGACATCATGGACACTCACTCTGGAAATGTCCCCGGTGCATATGGCCTCTACTGTGTTCGAGTGGTAAACCTAATGGTGACTAATGATGACTATTGATTCTTCTTTTGTCATCTGAGAAGCAAACAGCCAAGAGAGGCTCAGGTTTTATTTAAATATTTATTTAGATTACATAGTAATGATGACATGTGTTCTCCTTTAAAATAAATGCCTTTTTATTCTTTTTAAAATTCTATTTACAAAAAGATACAGCTCACTATTTATGGTAGGAATTTCAATAAAGTCCTATCAGTACAAACAACACATTTTAAACATTCACTTAAGAACCTTCAGGAACAAATTTGCCACTTTTAAGTTTAATTTCATCATTTCTACTATATAACATTGTATCAATCACTGTGACTACATAAAGAATGACCCCAAAAGTTTATGCCATAAAATAACAGTTATCATTTGTTGTCTGTATTTGTTGGGGTGAGGATTCAGGAATGGCTTAGCCAGGTCATTTTGATTCAGAATCTCTCCTGCAATTGCAGTCAGGTTGTCAACCAGGGCTGCTGTTATCTGAAGGCCTGACAGGGGCTGCAGAACCCTCTGCCAGTGTGGCTCACTCATGTGGCTTCCAGGTTGGTGCTGGTAGTTAGCCAGGCCCTTGAGTCCTTTCTCTAGACCTTTCCACAGCACTGCTTAAGCATCCTTGTGGAAGAAGGTATGGCTTCCACTAGGGGAACAGTTTAAGAGACCAGAAAGAGTAGGAGTGCATTTTATTACCTAGCCTCAGGTCACACATCACTACTGCCATCATGTTCGGTTGACCACATAGGCCAGTCCACATTCATTGTGCTGCTTGAGAACATGAACACTGGAAAGGAAAGGTCTTCACAGCCATCTTGAAGGCTGGCTACCACAGGCAGCATATGATATTTTAAAAACTATTTCAGAACCTTCTGGCATGATGATAGAATCAATTTTATCACTTCTAGTTTTTTTGTTTGTTTGTTTTGTTTTTATTGATTCTACTGGGTGGTAGTTTTTGGGTATTTTTATTTTTTTCTCCTTTATTGTTGTGATAGGTGGGGGTACATTGTGGCATTTACGCAGGTTCTTAATGTATCAAATATATCATACATGAATTCACCTAGGTTTTGGGTAGTTTAGGTATTTCTGAAGAAATTGTTACTTTTAGATGAAATTTACCTTGGAGTGAATCATTGAAGAGGATTGTCCAGTATCAGAAGACCGAACCTTTTTCTAAAATGGACATTAGTTCTTAGACAGGTTTAGCTTCATGGCAAAATCAAGAGGAGATTGACACAGTAATATTTATATTTGTAATGTTTGTCTTATCCATTCACGTATAGAAGGACATCTTGATGACTTCCAAGTTTGGGCAATTATGGATAAAGATGCTATAAACATGTATAAAAGTTTTTCTGTAGATATAATTTTTCAGCTCCTTTGGGTAAATACCAAGGAGCATAATTTCTGGATCATGTGGTAAGAATATGTTTAGTTCTGTAAGAGACTCCAAAACTGTCTTCCTTAGTGGAATATACAATTTTTTGTTCCCACTAGCAGTAACTGAGCGCTCCTGTTGCTCTTCATCCTGGACAGCATTTGGCATTGTCAGTGTTTTGGATTTGGGCTGTTCTGTACTGGTATCTCATTGTTTTAATTTGCATTTCTCTAATGATACAGGGTGTAGAATATCTTTTCATGTTTATTTGCCATCTTCATATCTTCTTTGACGAGGTGTCTATTAAGGTCTTTGACTCATTTTTATTGTTTTCTTGTTGTTGAATTTTAGTTCTTTGTATATTTTAAGTAAGTCTTTTATCAGATGTGTCTTTTACAAATATTTCCTCCCAGTCTTCCTCATTGTCTCATTGTCTTTTGCAGAGCAGAGTATTTTAATTTTAATGAAGTCTAGTTTATTAATTCTTTCATGAATCACACTTTGGTGTTTTATCTAAGAAAATATTGCTAAACCCAATTCAGATTTTTTCCCTTGGTTATCTTTTAGGAGTTTTATAGTTTTGTATTTTACATGTAGGTCTTTGGTGTATTTTGAGTTAATGTTTTTTGCTTATGGATGTCTTTTGTTCCAAGACTACCCTTGTTCTATTGTGTTGGCTTTGCTACTTTCTCAAAGATCACTTGGGTCTATTTATGTGAGTCAATTTCTGGGCTTTTTATTATGCTTCATTGGCTGATTTGTCTCTTATTTCACCAATACTACATTGTCTTGATTACTGTAGCTTTATAGTAAGACTTGAAATTAAGTAGTGTCAGTCTTCCGACTTTGTTATTCAATATTAGGCTGACTATTCTGGTTTTTTGCCTCTCCGTGTAGAGTTTACTTTACTTTTTTTTTTTTAAGCCATCCTAAGGGTTGGACCTAGGGTCTGGCATATGCCAAACAAGCACTCTGTCACTGAGCTATATCCTCAGTCCTCCATGTAGAGTTTAAAATCAATTTGTTGACACCCACAAAATACGTTGTTAGCATTTTGTTTGGTGTTGCATTCAATCTGTAGATCTAGTTGGTTAGAACTAGCATCTTGATAATATTCAGTCTTCCTGTTCATGAACATGGTTTATCTTCTACTTAATTTATCTCTTCTTTGATTTCTTTCATCAGAATGATATAATTTTGTCATATAAATTGTGTACATATTTTGTTAGTTTTATATATAAATTGTGTTGTTGGGAGGTTATTTCAAATTCTACTTTTTAATTGCTGGAATGTAGAAAAGCAATTAACTTGTATGTATTAACCTATATACTGCAGCCTTGCTATAATCTTTTTATCAGTATTAATGTCATAAAAGATAAACAAGGAAAGAGAAAAATTATTGGAATGGAATAATTAGGGAAACATATAGACCAAATATTATATAATAGTAAATTTTTTATGTGTAATAATTTTATTCTGGTTATATAGGACATTTTGTCCTTAGAAGATAGAATGTTGTGTGTAACTAATCTCAGATGATTCAAGAAAGTGTGTGTGTGTGTGTGTGTGTGTGTGTGTGTGTGTGTGTGTGTATGTGTGTGTGTCTGGAGAGGAGGGAAGAAAGAAGGACATATGGCAAAATATAAATAATTGCTCATCTAGATAAAAGAGTATATGGTATTTATTGTACTTTTCTTGAATCTTTTATATCGGTTTGAAATTTTCTCCAAAAAAGTTGAAAAGTTTTAATTAAAATAAAATTTAAAAATAACTAACACTCACTATATGTCTTATTGCTTTAGGTGAAATCCTTAACCCTGTTTGTCACCCATTATCCACCAGTTTGTGAACTAGAAAAAAGTTACTCACCACAGGTGGGGAACTACCACATGGGATTCTTGGTCAATGAGGATGAAAGCAAACAGGATCCAGGTATGAGATATTCCTGCAGTAGGTACAAGTCAAATATTAGTTTTCAGTTTGATAACCCAAAGTTTTTAGGAACATGAACTTACTACTCATTAATAATGAAAGCTGTGAATGTCAGCTATAAATAACACTATCCAAATTCATTTGCTCTAAGCTTTGGGTCAAGTAGAGCATACATTTATTTGCTAACTCCAAGTCCTTCTCTGGTCTTTCTCATCTCATTTTAAATGGCAGCCCTTGTTTCAGAAGTAGGTGGATGTGGAGGAGGCATGTAGGTTCCTTTTAGTTCCTTACATTTTTCACATGATTCTTATCATCCCAGGAAAGATACCTTGATAGTCAACCGCAGGGTTCTAGTCATTTTCAAAACACCCAGCATTTTTCCCAAAATACTTACTTAACATTAATTACTTACTAAGAGCTATATCGTATATTAAACATATGTCTTATTTTATTATAAGAAAAGTGAATCTTAGGAAGGTGAATTGGCTTGCCCATGTCAGCCACTTGGATGGGCATAAACTGAAATTAGAATGCATATTTTCTGTTTCCAGGTCCTCTTATCTTCCACTCTGCTGGATCTACTGTGGGGGATCCACAATATTTTTCCTAGCCTTTCCAGTTACTGCTACTGTCACAGAAATGAGACATTTTATGAAAACACCATTAGCCAACAGAAATAAATGCAAGTGCCATAAATAATCTAGTAGGCTTTAGCCATTTTTTTTAACTGTTTGGTAGTAGTTTTTTAAGCTATCAGCCTGTTTGCACAACTGGTATGCTATAATGGAAAATCCATTATCCAATACACTCCACAGTCCAAATTTAATTTTGGAAAAGTAGTAAAGATGGACCTGAAAAAGAAATCAGTCAGGCCGCCCAAATAAAACAAAGTACTAGACTTAAGATAGATTTAATGTTAAGCAATTCCTGCCTTTGACCACCACATAGCCTTGAAAAACACATCATAAATTCTCTCATGGAAGTAGTTTTGCTTCTACTAATCTGCATCCAATGTGACAGAAGAAGACTTAGAAACCGAAACCCATGGGACAAACAAAACACAATTCACTAACAGGGAAGGGGTGGAGACAGTGCTGCCAAGTGCTTGTTGTACACTGACTGCTGCCCCAGAGCTGAATCCCTTCCTGTTCAGTATTCTGGCATTTTATTTTATTGTTTTACATTTTTGTCTATGAACATAATTCTTCAAATGAAATCATGCTAAAGGGCTCCTGCTAACAAGCTTCTATCCCTCACTTCATGCCCTTCCCCATCCCAAGCCCAAGGCAACTACTTTGAACTCTTTCCTCCATTTCTGTTGTACTTCTAAGTAGTATGCATTATTTCCCTGTCACTTGATTCATCAGCTTGACACATTTTAGATGGACTTCTCATTGTGCTAGTTGGAAATTCAGCCTTTTCTTCTGTCTTCCTGATAAACTCATTTCATTTTCTGTTTCATTCATACTCATTGTTTTCACTATTACTGTAGTGGAAGTATTGCCTATTGATAGCCAAGTATGGAGACAAGTACATTTTCTGTTTTACTGCTGTTTTATTTTCTTACAGATAAGAATTGCCTTGTTCTTATTTCTGCATTTTGTCTTTTTGCTTTGAATCTGTAGTCTAATCTTCCTCTAGCTTTGTAAAATGCCTCTTTAGTCATTATCCCACATAATTACACCTGTTTTTCCCACTGGGTCCTTCCTCCTGACACCCTTTGTCCACCTGCTCATTTGAACTGATTGCTGTCCTGGCCTGTTGCACCACTGTTGTCCTGAGGCCTGCTTCTGAGACATACTGGCATTCTCTTCTACTCCCTTGTGTACATTTGATTGCCAGTAACCAAACATTTGGACTCACAGTGGCTTAAACAGTTGGTGAGATTGCGTGAGATCTCATGTTATAGGAAACTCAGAGGAAGAGGGGGTCTTGACTCTTCTTTGCTGTTTCCCAGGCTCTGTCTTCTTACCTAGCTAGCTACATCATCAGGCTAGAGGCAAGATGATCACAGCTCTTTCAGACATCACACTTAGAATTGACTGTGTCCAAAGAAGGAAAAGGGCAAGCATTTCCTCTGACTCTTTCTTCTTTTTTATTTTATTTGAATTTGTTTTATTTTTTGTTTTGGTGCTGAAGATTGAACCCAGGGCCTTGTTCATGCTAAGCATGTGCTCTACCACTGAGTTACACCCCCACCCTCCTGTGACTCTTTCTTAGGAACAGGTAACTTTTTCTCAGATGCCTTTTAATACCTCATGATTGTCCCATCTCATTTTCACAATGCAATCACATCCTCATTCTTAACAAGTGAGTGTGGCAGGAATGACTTTGGGCCTTGATTAATCAGAATCTACTTTTATAGTTGGGTCTGAGGACCCTATCCTCTGAGTTCAGTGTACAGGGAGTTCTTTATAGTATCAGGAATTTTTTTAGAAGTGGAATAGATTTGGGATAAGGCACTGCTATTATAAACTAAACAAGGTGAAGATTTTGAGTTTGAGTGAATGAAAGTGTCTTCATTATACTTTTATATTTGATTTATATTTCAGCAAGGGCAGGAACTAGGTTAAAGATCATTCTCCTCAGGATTTTGAAGCATTGCACTATTGTGTGCTCACTTCTGATACTGCTCCTGGCTACATCTGTGCTTCATCCATTACCCCTAACCTAATTCCTCCTCTTCTGAGTTAGAGGTCATTGCATAGGACATCAGTAAAATGCCCCCAAAGACCTCTCTGTTTCCAGTAGTGTGGTAGGTAAAGTAATGGACCAGCAGTCAGGAAACCTGTGTTGTAATCTCTTCCAATCTATATGGTTCACCTACTTTTATCCATCTCTATAATTTTTTTATGAATCTATCCTAAAAGAAACTTCAGAAATTATTTGATCAGCATATACCTCTTTAATAACTTCCTAGAGAAGTTTGGCTTTAAAATAAATTTTGCTTTATTTCCTTATATTTAGAAACAAAAATTATTGCATTCAGTCACTCTAATCAGTACCATATCAGTTTTCAAAATACCTACTTAGCAGTGGGTCACAGCATATGAATAAAGTTCTCACCAACAACTTTTAATTCACCTCTCCCACCTGGCTCTCTCTGCCTCCATACTTCCATCCTACATTTGCACATGCACACACACACCACCCTCCACAAAGAGGGAAAAGGAGTCTTGAGGTAAAATACAACTGCAAAAAGAGGTCCCCATGTGATTAGGGAAGAATAGCCATATTCTTTACCTTGAAGCTGTGAAAATTACCATAATTAATACTAAAGTGGAGACCAGCAGACTGTGATATACTGAGCCACTGTTTGTACTAAGGTATGTTAATGAAGTGTCAAGACAGTGTAATATATTATGTGATTTACAGCAATATATACATTATATATTAAAAAGCATTGTAAAAGGCAGCACAAAGATGTGAACCTATAGTCCCCAGCTACTCGACTGAGGTGAGAGGGTCACCTGAGCACAGGAGATTGAGACCAGCCTGGGCAACATAACATAACCCTGTCTAAAAAGAAAAACATACACACACACAAAAGCCATTGTTATAGATATATCTGTCTCTTAAAATATACCACACACGTATATATGTATCTTTATGTATGTATAGCAAATATCTTTATATATAAGATAAATATAACAATGTTCTCTGTTTTATGATCTATAGCATATATATATAAAAGCAAAAAAAAAAAGGCAACTCTGAAAATCCATCAGCAAATCAATGGTTAAGGAGTTTTGTGGCATTTAATAAGCTCTCAGAAAATGCTGGCTGGCTAGCTGGCTGGACAAACATGAATGAGCCTCATTTAAGAAAGACCAGCATGGAGGCTAGAATATACTAGAAACCTGGAGGTAGGATGTTCACTTAGCACTAACCGAATTGAGATGACAGATTGTTTTTTTTGTCTTAAAGACAACGAAGTTTGCTTTTTTGATGGCTTACTGCTGTTCATTTCACTCTTTGTCTTGTGAGCATGGAAGAGAAACAGAAAACCCTCCAGGTTTGTAGGCACAGGTTTCTACATCCATGCATCTTTTCTATTCTGTTCCCACCCACTTCTCACCTGTTCTTTGTGTTCCCTAAGTTTCATTTATGGGCAGCAGTATTCTTAGTACTTTGTGAGGAAGTTTGAGTCTGTGTATTCCTGAGCATGCAGCATTCTTTTCACCTCCCACTTCTAGCAACCACCCTAAGAAGCTATTATTTTGTCTGTTGCCGAGTTCTTAAAGGAGGATAAGAAAAATTCCATTGTCCTTTTTCACTGTTGTATTCAGTCTTTTGGCTCTTTTTGTTCTTAGCTGATAAGGTAATAAAAGCATATGATTTAACAAATGGAACAAGTATGAGGAAAAGTGCTTAATAAACCTACAGTATGTGCTAGAGTTGCAAAAATAAATTATAAATATGGTCTGTCTTGCACATCGTGACAACACTATATTGAATTTTTTTAAAAAGCTACATAATCCCAAGGTGCTTTGGCTTTATGAAAGATTAAACTGCATGTAACTACTTCTTCAGATTTTTTGTACCTTGTGGTTTCCTAATTCTTTAAAAATTTTAAACTCACATATATGTATTTGTGTGGCAGAGCTTTGAGGCTGGGATAATCCTTCAGTTACCCCAACTCAGGTTAGAAGGTGAAGACCTTATGCCCTTTGTTATTTACCTTTATTAGTTTGCAGTAATTTGTAAGCAGTATGCAACAAGTTGCCCCCAAAATATAGCAACTTAAAACAAAAAGTATTTATTACCTCATCATTTCTGTGGGTCAGGAATCCAGGGGCAACTTCACTGTGCACCTTTGGGATCTCTCACAGGACTGCAATGAAGATAATGGTCAGGGGGCAGTCACTTCAAGGCTTGAGGGGGTAGACTGCTTCCCAGCCCATCACTGACATGGCTGTTGGCAGGCTCAGGCCCCCACTGACTATTGAGTTTCCATGTGGGCCTCTTCATAGGGTTGCCCACAACAAGGCAGCTGGCTTTCTTTCAAGCAAGACAGTAAGAATGCCCAGGACAGAGGACATCACCTTTTCTAACCTAATCTCTAAAGTGACATCCTATCCCTTTGCCATATTCTGTTCATTAGAAGTGGATGGCTGGGTTCAGCCCACATACAATGGGAAGAAATGACACAAGGTAATAAACAATAAGAGACAGGGATTTTTGATAGCCTTCTTAGAGGCTACCATAGCAGCCAGTCACATGCCCAGTGCCCCAAGAAAGGGTTGTCCCCTTGGGTAGGCAACTGTTAAGTTGCAGCAGTTCCCAAAGAGGGCATACAGCAGAGGGTTGCAGGCCAGCAACCTTCCTGACAGCTGGGGGGAATATACTCCTCAGTCCTAATTGGGATCTGCGTCATAGTGAACAGTACTCACTACAGTATGAATGACTTCTTCTTAGCCAGAATATTTAATAAACCAGAATTTCTCAATCTTGTTATTCAAACTGTACAACATGTACTATTTCCTAATCTGTTCTAAAAAAGAAATAAATTATGTTTTACCATGTATCAGAACCACTTTCTTTTTGATATAGATGTTCAGTTCAAATTTTGCAATGAGTCATTATTAAAAACTATTTTAAATGAGCTAAAATGCATGTTCAGAACAGTACTTCCCCTTTTTCTAGATAGGTGAAATTAATAAGAGGAGCTAGCAGGTAGACAGGAGCAATGTATGCTTTTTCAGACTGTAAATTTTAAGAGAGTAAAATTATAAGAACTTAATACCTTCTTTAGTCCTCTGATTTTCAAGTTTTAGTGTGGTATTGATCTTTTCTCCCCCTCTTTATTTCATAGGTGAGGAAGAACAAGTGCCCGATTTTGTCACGTTTCTTTATCAGATGACCAGAGGAATTGCAGCAAGGAGTTATGGACTAAATGTGGCTAAACTAGCAGATGTTCCTAGAGAAATTTTAAAGAAAGCAGCTCACAAGTCAAAGAGCTGGAAGGATTAGTAAACATGAAAGGTCAGAATGTTTGTGCTGTACTTTTTTGGGTTTATAATAAAATCTTGCAAATTGTCCAAGGAGAGAGGATTGTCCTGCAAATGAACATCAGATCTACTTTTAAGCTTTTCCCTTCAAATATTCTGAAACATTTAATTATAGCAAAGTGAAAACAGCTCTTGGAAAAGCTTAGATGAATTCAGTCCATGTTTGTTATTTTTCATCCCCTCTTTAATTGATCAGGCAGATCTTTATTAAGTTGCAAAACTGGCTTTTCATTCATTTTTTTCTAAAGAATTAAGTTAACTTCATCTGTGCCAACACTTTAGCTGCTTAAGATATTCAACTATGTTCAGAGTTACTGAAGCTGGCTCTAGTGACTCACACCTGTAATACTAGCTACTCAAGACAGAGATCAGGAGGAATGAGGTTCGAAGCCAACCCTGGGCAAATAGTTCGCAAGCCCATATCACAAAAAAACCCATCACAAAAATGAGCTGGAGGGGTGGCTCAAGTTGTAGAGTGCCTGCCTAAGCAAGTGTGAGGCCCTGAATTCAAGCCCTAATGCTGCAAAAAAAAAAAAAAAAGAGTTACTGAAAGAAGCTTCAGTATTTAAAACCTCTAAGGGGCTTCTTTTATTCCTGCTTTGCCCTGAGATATGTAGTGATTACATTCAGAAATTAAGAACTCTGTTAGGATATGAATGAAATTGTGGCATTATGTAGCTTGGAATCATAGTATCCACATATCACGTATTTTATGAATTGTTTGTGACAATTTTTCATTCTAACCTATCTCTCTATCATCTAGAATGTTTATGAAAATGTTTTCCACCTGTACCCTTGCTATGCACCCAATATATAATTAGTATCTAAACTAATTTAGAAGAAAGACATTCCTAGAAAATATCCTATTAATGAATAAATAGTATATTACAGTCTTTTGTTTGCTAAATATAAATTATGAAACAACCCAAGCTCCTGACCCCTGCCCTACCTGGAGAGTGTGATCTGCCAGGGACAGGACATTACTGCCTTGCTTGATAACCATGCAACTGTGAGTGAACCGGATTGTTGACCAAATAGAAAATCTTGACCGGCTACCTATGGTTGCTGTGTTATACTCCAAGAATATTATTTAGTTCTGTGAATCACTGCCAAATTCAATACTAAAATATTAATATTTATAATGTTAGGTGAAATTTAGTTAAGAAACAGTTGACCACATGTATCCTGTTGTACAATTAACCACTCTTTCTCCATTTCCTTTCACTGGTGGTTCTGCCATACATGACACACCTTGCCATGGTATATGATGGTTGACAAGACCCAAGTACTGAAATACTGCAAAGGATGCATAGCCTCCCCTATTGATACTTTCTTCTAGATCGTTTCCACAGTGCTATATTAGAAGCAAAGTAGTACAGTTAGTTTCAGCCTATTTCTGTTAGGAGGCAAATTAAACATAACATTTTTCCAGACAGAAAATTATCTATGAGAGTTTAAAAATAAACCTATCCATTTATCCTCTGCAAAGTTCAAAGACAAACCTAAATCTCTTTTGTTGATCTCTTATTTTATTGTTCTTTTTCCCAGAAGAAATTAAAATAAAACTCTACTACAAAGGATTCATATATAACAAACTGGCAACAAAATAAGATAGTTTATACTTGTTGCTTCTATATAGCCTACAAGTAAAAGCAAGAAAATTTCCAGGCTACTTATAAATATTTTCATTCTTCCAACTAGTATGTGACATTTTAAAATCTAGAATTTTCATGACAAGATGAGAGAATTATTGGAAGAGGTTACATTGAGACAGAATCTATAATTTACCAGAATACTGTATTTATTTTACCTTCCTCTATAAGTGTTTATTACATCTCTCTCGCCAGATAGATCAAAGAAATCAAACTGAATCTGTGTCTTAGGTGTGGATATGATACAAGGGTTAAGATTTATTGGACTTGGGCTGTGTGCAGAAACAAGTATGAGCAGTTATTTGCAGCTGCCTGGGCACTGTCAGTTACTCTTTTTACTGCTTTATATCTAGTAACTCACTTCATCATATGACAAGCTTATGAGTTAGATACTATTGTATCCCCATGTGCTAGTTGGGGAAAATGAGGCCAGGTAAAGACAAGAAGCTGACCCCGAATCATGCATCCAGTTGCAGATGGGATGGTAATTGGAACTTAAGATACTCCAGCTTCAGACCTTGAATACTTAACTGGGTTGCTGTTCTGAAGGAAAAAATGAAGATCTGTGTTACTCTTTCATTAGCCAGGTTGTTTTATTAAATCAGATTCACTTTTCATCCAGGGAACATTCAGCAGGAGTGTTTCTGTCTTCAGATGCAGATAAGTGCACACACACACACAGATGCACACACACACAGCCTCTGGCAGTGAAGGGGAGGAAGTCATGTTGTCCCTTCTCTGCAGGCAGGGATTTTAGAAGGCAGCAGGGAGGCAATGGTGGTGATCAATAACTTTGGTCCCTTGATTATGGCAGCTGATCTGGAAAGGTGATGATGCAGCCACAGCTTCCTAGCCGTGGAGCCTGCCTGCTAGTGTAACAACATAGGCTTTTCATCGCTTTCGTATTATCCCCAACAGACTCATTTCTAAAATAACTAGTATTTTATTTTTCCTCCTAGGAAAAGGCTAAAGTATTTTGCAAAATTATGGACAACACATAATGCAAAAGACCTGCAAGAGTGGATGGACAAATTTGAAATGGAAGAAATAAAGACTTCTCTTCCTTATTAAAATGAAGACTATATTTTTTAACAAAAAATGGAGAATTAAAAATACCAACCTTATAAAACAACTCTCCAGTAACACTCCATCTTTGTGTGACATAAAAGCATAAAATTATGACCTTGATATATTCCTTTTGGAAACAGATTCTTGTTTTTTAAATTCCTGCCCTCCTGAATTTCAAAATATTAACATATAAATACTTTTGAATATGAAGGTTTCCACTATGTAAATAGAAAAGTTCCTGGACAGTAAGTGTCACATAAAATCAAAATCTTTAAAATAAAACTTAAAGGGGTAGAATACAAACACAGAGGTATTTGGAGAGTAATATAAATTTTAAATTTGTATTTTTATTTGTTTTAGTTCAGACAATTGTCACAGAGCAAATATGGAAGAAATTTGCCTTTCCAATGCAACTAAAATAATTTTATAATACCACTGGTTTATTCACCGTGAACATAAGAATTTTTTGATAGAAACAGAAAAAAATCATTGAGCTTTTAGAAAGTAGAACATGCAACGTGGGAAGAATAAAGTCATATGAAATTCGAAGACAAACATTGTCATAGTTTTAAGCAGTTTAAAGATTGCTGGATGAAATTATTTTGTCATTCAAGTAATAAATATTTAATGAATACTTGCTACAAATTATGGTATAGTCTGTTCAATGTTGATGTTTTCAAATACCAGGCAGTTGTCATTTTTCAGGTTTGACTATGGAACCAAGGTTGCTGCTCCTACCTAGGCTCTACAACAGAACTGAACTCATCCATTTTGACCATTCTGTTCATCAGTGTAGCGCATGTATAATCTCCTTAGTGTTGAACCTTATAGCTTTGTGGATTCACAATGGCACTACTTCCCTAAAGTTTAGGGTGATGTATGCTCAACTGCACTGGATTTTTTACAGCATTTACAATCTGGCTTCTCATAGTCATGTGTCCTTTTGTTTCTAAATATGCAATCTTGCATAAAGGCTCTTCATCCTGTTTCACATCCATTTATTATTCTTGCTCAGTTAAAATTCTTCCCCTAGATTATTACTTAAGGTATCCTTAACAGTGAGCCCAGACTCAGAAGTCAGTATAGTGTCCCCAAGATGATGAGGGGTGGATTGTTGTCCCTTTTGAGTCATTCACACTTTAACTTCGATTCCCAACAGTTTTGGAGTTAGGAAATGATTATATTTTGTTTCCACTATGTCTTTAGATTTACAAATGTATAGTGAGGTTTTCAAAAAAAAGTCACAGAATAGTTGAAACGTGCACTTAAAAAAGAACAAAATTGTCTCAATATTTTATATGACTGTAAATGTTTTATTTTGTTTCTAACAAGATTTCAAAGATACAGCTGTAACATTACTGGTACTTTAAAGAGATGAGTCTGGGAATGTCATCCCCATGCCAGAGGGAGCTACAGGAATAAATGTCACTGGTAATGTTCAAGCAGACATTCAGTGTCACTTCTGCCTCTGGGGCCAGGTCAGCATCAACAGTTCCAACAGGCGAGGATTACAGGTGCAGCATGTGCCAGCCATGTTCCATACCCACACTGTAACACTGTATGGCAGTTAACAGCTTGGAGCATCACAGTGTAGATCTCCAGCATGAAATGGCACTTAGGCTGGTCAGCCAGCCTCTGGCATGAAGGAACAGTTCTGCTGCGCACACAGGGGAGAAGACCAGCACTGCAGAACTGCATTTCTGAGGGATGCTTTAGTCCCAGGGAAAGTTACACCAAATCATGGTCATTAAGACTATACAAATGCCACAGAGATGAATAGGAAGTTGCAATCCATTGAGCCTGTTTTCCAGATACCCAAGTTAGGACTGTAGTTCTAGTATTAGATAAAACCCACACCTGTGGAATGGGGCTGGTGGTTTACTGCCAGGGTTCAGAGTCCCTCAGGTACTAGGTAGGCTTGAGCCTGGAGGCTGAATGTCCTCAATGCTTCAGACAGAATGGGGAAGACAGGGCTTACCAGGGCCAGCATGCCATAAAAAGTAACTTGGAAATGTGATCTGTTCCTTTAAGTGGTTTGTCTGTTTTTAGCCATAGAATTACAAACTAAGAGCTGGTAATCCTACCAGTTCCTCAAAGCCTTCTAAATAACATTCCATTCAGTTTAATAACTCCAATCCTAAAAGGGTGGGGGTGGGAATGAGGATGCTGAGGGTGTAGCTCAGTGGCAAGGCTCTGGCTTTAATCCCAGCACTCCCCAAAATTTTTTTAAATCAGTTTCAGCTTTGACCTTCCTGCCATGTCATCTCTCTTCATTGCTATCTATGCTATATTTGTTTTTAAAGTATTCTTATCCATAATATTCTTAGCTACAGGACTATCATTTATAATTTTACAAAGAGACTGAAAGAAAACTGAAATGTCAATTTTAAGTTAAATTTTAAAGGAATAAAAGTAAAAACCTAAGCACCGAAGTCATTCAGTCTATCTCCTTGGTCTTCAGTGCTAGCTATTAAAGTCATATGATTCCCCAGGCACCACCTAAATCAAGGAAGACTATCAAGCTTAGTATTTCTGAACAGTTTTATTAGCATATTTACATACTGTGCAATTCACTATTTAAACTGCTTAATTCAGTGGGTTTTCCTTTGTTCACAGAATTGTACCACTGACACTGCAATCAATTTTAGAATGTTCTCATCACCCTAAAAATATCTTGCACCTATTACTGGTCACTCTCCATTTCTTCCCAGAGCCCCAGCCCTAGACAACCACATAGCTGAATGCTATGTATGCATTCTCCTGTCATGATTCTACTAGGAACATTCACATATATATCTTTATGACAAAACATAGAATTTATTTTAAAACTCTCCCAGTAATTCCAATGTGTAATCAGGTTTGTGAACCACAGCCTCAATGATTATAATTTACTAAATAATTCATTTAGTTGGGCAAGTCATTTGTTCCTTCTGTCGTCTACTTTATCACATAGGACAAACCTTGGCATACTATAAATCCTAATAAGTATTTGTTAAAATAGAAAGAAAAACCCTTTCATGTCAGAAACCAATGAAAAGATATTTCTCATAATCAAGGCACCAGTTCACAGGGAATTCAAAATCCATACAGAAGTGTGCTATCTGTTAAAACAAGAAACAAATATTTGTTTCTTCTGACAGTTTGTCCAAGTTGAGCTCATTGTCATGGTGGTGGTGTAATGACACTGGTGAGATAGTGCCCACTGTGTGAATTCTGGAGAAAGACTAAATTGACTTCACTATATCCTGCATATAATGCTGACCTTTGATAAGGTTCCAAGATCAATATTAACTACTGCTGTGCTGTGTAATTATGCAACTGCTTAACACCAAAGAACATGGGTGGGGCGAGAAAGAAACTTAGAGTAGCACCATCTGTGGTTTCTAACTTTGTAATTGAGGCCGTTCTTCTGTGGAACATTCTAGTTCATACATTTGATTATTGTCAGGTTTATTAATGCAGAAGAAGTGTAAGGGCTGCTACTATGTTAGATAACCACCTTGGTTTGTCTGGACAACACAGTCTACACCTGTTAACTGAAACATTTATTAAAAGCCTTCTTAACACAAGAAGCCTGTATGGATAATAAATTATATGGTTAGCCCAATTACAGGTGCTGCTTCAATGGCATAGTCACTGATGTATGGATTTGAATGACATCTTTTTTTATTTTATTTATTATTGATATGTGCATACAAGGCTTGGGTCATTTCTTCCCCCTGCCCCACCCCCTCCCTTACCACCCACTCTCCCCCTCCTTCTCCCCCCCACCCCCTCAATACCCAGCAGAAACTATTTTGCTCTTATTTCTAATTTTGTTGTAGAGAGAGTATAAGCAATAATAGAAAGGAACAAGGTTGCTGGTTGAGATAAGGATAGCTTACAGGGATTGACTCACATTAATTCCTGTGCGTGTTGTTACCTTCTAGGTTAATTCTTTTTGATCTCACCTTTTCTCTAGTTCCTGGTCCCCCTTCCTATTGGCCTCAGTTGCTTTTAAGGTATCTGCTTTAGTTTCTTCTAGCATTAAGGGCAACAAATGCTTAGCTAGTTTTAGGGCGTACCTGACCTCACCCCTCCCTTGTGTGCTAAAGCTTTTATATCATGTGCTTAAAGTCCAATCCCCTTGTTGTGTTTGCCCTTGATCTAATTCCACAAATGAGGGAGAACATACGATTTTTGGTCTTTTGGGCCAGGCTAACCTCACTCAGAATGATTGTTCTCCCAATTCCATCCATTTACCCAGCGATGATAACATTTTGTTCTTCATGGCTGCCATAAAATTCCATTGTGTATAGATACCACATTTTCTTAATCCATTCGTCAGTGGTGGGGCATCTTGCTGTTTCCATAACTGGCTATTGTGAATAGTGCCGCAATAAACATGGGTGTGCAGGTGCCTGAGTAACCTGTGTCCAGTCTTTTGGGTATATCCCCAAGAGTGGTATTGCTGGATCAAATGTAGTCAATGTCTAGCTTTTTAAGTAGCCTCCAAATTTTTTTCCAGAGTGGTAGTTTTTCCCACCACAGTGTAAGAGGATTCCTTTTTCCCCGCGGATCCACGCCAACACCTGTTGTTGGTGGTGTTGCTGATGATGGCTATTCTAACAGGGGTGAGGTGGAATCTTAGTGTGGTTTTAATTTGGCATTTCCTTTATTGCTAGAGATGGTGAGCATTTTTTCAGTGTTTTTGGCCATTTGAATTTCTTCTTTTGAGAAAGTTCTGCTTTAGTTCACTTTGCCCATTTTCTTTACTGTTCATTAGTTTTGGGAGAATTTAGTTCTCTTTAAGTTCCCTATATATTCTGGTTATCACGTCTTTGTCTGATGTGTAGCTGGTAAATATTTTCTCCCACTCTGTGGGTGTTTCTCTTCAGTTTAGAGACCATTTCTTTTGATGAAACAGAAGCTTTTCTTTATTGAGGTCCCGTTTATCTATGCTGTCTCTTAGTTGCTGTGCTGATGGGGTTTCATTGAGAAAGTTCTGTACCTATACCTACTAACTCCAGAGTATTTCCTACTCTTTCCTATATCAACTTAGAGTTTGTGGTCTGATATTAAGATCCTTGATCCATTTTGAGTTAATATTGGTATAGGGTGATATACATGGATCTAGTTTCAGTTTTTTGCAGACTGCTAACCAGTTTTCCCAGCAGTTTTTGTTGAAGAGGCTGCTATTTTCTCCATCCAACTATATATTTTATGCTCCTTTGTCAAAGACAAGTTGGTTATATTTGTTTTGGCTTCATATCTGGGTCCGCTATTCTGTTCCACTGTCTTCATGTCTGTTTTTGTGCCGAGACCATGCTGTTTTTATGTTATTGCTTTGTAATATAGTTTGAAGTCAGGTATTGTGATACTCCTCATTGTTCTTTTGACTGAGTCTATTGCCTTGGCTATTCATGGCCTCTTGTGTTTCCATATAAATTTCACAGGTAGATTTTTTGATCTCTTAATGAATGTCATTAGGATTTTGATGGGAATTGCATTAAAACATGTAGATTACTTTTGGGAGTATGACATTTTACTATGTTGATTCTACCATCCCATGAGCATGGGAGATCTCTCCACTTTCCTAATATCCATCCTCAATCTCTTTCTTCAGAAGTGTATAGTTTTCCTTGTAAGAGGTCT